CTCAATATTATATTCAGGGTTAGTGTGTGAATGAAACAAAACACAACTCCAGGTATGTTTGTGATGAGGAAACAACGTTATAACATAGATCAGAAAATAGCGTAAAATAGAAAGTACAGTAAAAATCGAGGAAAGTACTTTTGTGACTTTAACCATAAGGCCAGATATCCATTTTTCTGAGAGTGAGAGTGAGGACGTGGTTTTGTGCTGACACTGGAGCAGCCCTGCACACTCCACTCTGGTGCGTGTGCATTAGAGGAACACCTCCATCTGTTTGTGCAGCTTATGATGAGTAGTGGCTCCATTTCATCCAAGTATCTCCAGACTGCACCGTGCGCAGTGAGAGGGTCACGCTCTGCTCCGCTCTGCTCCTCTGATGGATGGGGACGAGGGGGCGAGACTTTAAGGGAACAGGTAGTTAAGAGGGAGAAAAATAGGGGCCGTGGACAATGAACTAGGGCTCGGAGATAAGGCGATACAAGTGAAAGCGTGATCTTATGACTTTGACTTGATGCTGTTTTGGTGAAATTGTCATGTTGTGATTCACTATTCTTCTGTCAAATGCACGTCACAAACCAGGAAGACGTTTGGAAACATGCGATGACGACTTCTGGCGGACTCGCGGTAGTAAGTCTGACAAAATCTAGGAAAATTGATAAAATGGACCAGTTTTCTTCATCTACATGTTATTGTAGACTTTCGTAATGTTCGTCTAATCAACGGTTACAACCATGCCTCAGTTTTCATCATTTCCCCACTCACACAACTTCGAGGGCATCAAATTCAAGATGATATTTTGAAACTGCACATACGTATGCAGTCTTCATTTTACCGCTGTTCACATTTACTTCAGTGCATTTTATCACAGTTGGTCGGTGAGCCCAGTGTCGAGAACTACACCTGAAGTTGTCATCGCATGTTTCCAAATGTCTTCCTGGTTTGTGACGTAAGCGTGAATGAAGCCTATTAGGCCCCATGCACACTAGTATGCATTTGAGTCATTTTCGTTGCGGATGTAGTGTTCGTCTACATAAATCCGATTGAAAATGGCTCCAGAGATGAAACAATCTGGTGCCGCCAGCTCCCACGAATTCATTTGAGTACAGATCTGATCAGGCACTGTGTGGACGCCTGAAAACACTGATACATTGATGCAGGTCCTTGCGCTGCGAAGTAATTCCCCGCCAAAACGCTAAGAGGTTAGAATATATGTCCATTCATTTATACGGTCTATGTATGACCTGCAGAAGTATAATCTCTGAAAAGTTTAACATGAACCATCTCCAACATGATACAAGCACAGAACAGACTCACCATCAGCAGAACCTCTGTCATAGAAAGAACACATATAATCCACTGAGTCGTGTCCTTTAGTGCGACAGAAACTGAATCGCATCAGCTCACAATAGCGAGATGTTTTTTGAGTGCTTAGTTTATGCAAATTAGTCATGCGGTTTTACGTTTTGTTTCTTTAAAACATAAACAGATATGCTCAAAGCTGTGTGGATAAAGAAGGCTTGCAGACGCAGATCGTTTCCGATACAGTGATATCGTGACACGGTGATTCATTTCAGTGTAAACTTAGTCTTACTCAGTCTCTGTAAGGCTCTGAGTGCTTGACAGGTGATTTAACCGATCACAGTGAAGAGTAAACTTTCAGAAGAAGCACAAATGAACAGAGGAAATCCAAAGTGTTGTGAAAAATTATAAAACTGAAACTGTGATCTGTAGCCTTATCACCAATTATACATAAAAAAGAAGAGCATCTATTTGAACTTTAAAGCTGAAAAGCTTCATTTAAAACCTCTTGTATTTTCACTCCTGAGTGCAAACTCTGCTGGCATCTGTAGTGTTTTGTGAGATGAGAGCTGACTGAGGTCGAATTTATTTTACAATTTTAAAAATGCACTATGTACCTTTTCTGGGAGAGGGTATGAAAACGGTCTTCACGGATACTAATTGCCCTAATTACAGGTCAGATCTCTGTCAAAGCAAATCTGCTCGCAGAACGAATGTATGTTTTACAAGGTATTTTGTGAGAAAAACACCTGTTGATGCAAGTGTTTGATGCTGCAATGTGGAAAAAATAAAGCATAAAATACTAGTACTAAGGCGTGAAATGTGTTGGTTTACTTTCATTATTTCAGCATTTCAGCATATGAGGTATTGCCCAGGGGCACAATTGCAGTATGGACTCAGGCAAGGTTGATGGTAGGCAAACCCCAAACAAATAAATGATTATAATGATGAAAACAAACCGGGAAGCACAAAGAATACACAATATGAGACACAACAAAGACGACCAGTGCACCTCCCACCAGACAGACAAAACAAGCTATTTTGATGGCTGTTTCTATGGCGACCAGGGTTCTAACCTTGGGATCACCCGCCCCCCTCTCCACCCTCCTCCCCTAGCCTCGGCGCTCGGTAAACAGCTGGCACCTCTGGGACGTCCTGCCACCTCCACCTCCTCCGCCTCCTCTGCCTCCTCCACCTCCTCCACCTCCTCCACCTCCTCCGCTCTCGTCTGAAGGCTCCTGTGCTCCAGAACACAGCACATCCATTTTTAATAAGAGCGAGCGGGCTCCTCGTCACCGCAATGAGGGACATCGCTCACCAACACAATACTCCGGGACCAGCCGAAAACGGGGAACCAACAGAAGACGAGAACCCGTGCATGTGTGTGTGTCAGAGGGAGAGACAGAGATGGCAAAACACAAATATAGGGTAAACAAGTTGCAGAATGAATGAATGAAAAGGAAACAGCCAATGTCTAAGTCTGAGCAGCTGTCCATGCGACAAGTTTTTTGGTCAAAATGGTGAAGTTTGTATTCGTTTTGGCCTTTCGTCCACACGGAGCCAGTGTTTTGGGTGGGTGAAAACTTCCAGAGTGGAGAAATCTGAGAATGCAGGCGTCTCGTTGTCGTGTAGACAAGCAAACCACAGCTTTTGGAAAACGATGATGTCATGATCCCATCATCGCCAGGGTCCTCCGAAGCAGTGAAGCCTGCAGCCCTCAAACTCATCTCCACAGACCACAAGAGCGTTGGCAAAATGGGACAGGTGTAGCTTACAGAGCCGCTCCCACCACCCAGCAACCGAGACACACTGCTAGCGCCAATACTAACAACACACACCACAGATTACGCACACCGATCAATAACAAAGACTACGTTTACACTGAAACGAATCTGCGTATCACCGTATCAGAAACAATCTGCATCCAGACACGTCGTTTCTGTGTCTGCAAGTCTTCCCTATCCACACAGCATTGTGCGTATTTGTTTACGTTTTACAGAGATCAAACTTAAAACCACATGGCTAATTTGCATAAACTAAGTGCTCAAAAAACAGCTCGCTATTGTGCGCTGATGTGGTTCAGCTTCTGTCGGACTAAAGGACAGGACTCAGTGGAATATATAGGTTCTTTCTGTGACTTATGTTTAACTTTTGCAAAACAAAATGGCTATATTTCTGGGATACATCTAAAATAAGTTTAAAAAATGGTTATGAGATATGCATTATTGAATATTATTATCATTGTTTACAGCACCACATACAGGTGTGGACATGAATATTTACTGATCCGGCACGTGTGTGGACGCAAATTTTTTTAACCTACAAAGAAACAAATCCAGGAGCATTGTCGTGTGGACGTAGCCTGAGTCACATAGTTTGAAATGGAAGAGAAAGTAGATTTGTATGAAATGTGTTCATGTAATCTCTTGTTCTTCTTTTTCTCTTGTTATTATTGATCAAGTACCGTATTTTTTGGATTATAAGTCATACTTTTTACGGTTTGGATGGTCCTGCAACTTATACTCTGGTGCAACTTGTATATTAAAATGTTCACAGCTGCGAGAGGCTCTAGTCTCGTGTGTCAGTATCTGCCACTTAGGCCAGTAACGATAATCAACAAATCAATTAATTGTACAGCTTTTAACAAGCTTGCTATTTGCATGCGTGTTTGTTTTCCTCGTCTCTCTCGCTCTCTCTACCCATGAGTGTCACTGACCACTGCACTCAGCTTCTTCTGTGGTATCATTACAAAACTCTAAAACACAAAATGAAGAAACAATACTCAACAGCTCATTCAGAAACCGCCTCTGTGCACCTCTGCTCGCTCTCACCTTTACATCCTGTATTTAGAAATGTACTGTAAGGTCGCGTTAGTATTTCCACCTCTGCTCTTTCTCTGAACCCTAACCCCATAACCACTGACTCTCCGGTTCTCTCACGACCCGTTTCTTCCCCTCACAAAATCCACTTCAATAGCCACCTAACCCATCTGCCCTACGCTGCTTGCAAAACTTATCTTATTATTGAACGTATCTTTATTTTGGAGCGGTAGAAAAAACAAAAGGAATTAGTTTGTGAGTGTGGAAATTTCGACCGAGGTTAGGATTAAGTTTAGCACCAGCATCGATCTCCATCTTGGGCCGGAGTGACCCTAGAGGAGAGGTCAAAGGTCGTGTGGAAGTGTGACCTCTGCGGCGGTAATCAGGGGGTAAGACTTTCAATTACAGCCGGCGTGATTAAAGTGCAGCGAGGAAGAAAACGAGTCTAGTGCGTCCAAGCTGTTTACTTTGTCTTAGTTTAAAGGTGCATTGTGTAACTTTTCTGGTAGTAACTTTTCTCCATGGAGATGTTATTGCTTTGTCTGGAATTTTTCACAGTATGGTATTAAATCTTTCTTATTGTCATGGAGACCAAATCAAAGAAAAAATTACTCCTACAGCTCCGCTCAAACAGTGAGAAATCCATTATACCACGCTCCACACAACCGTACAACAAATTAGACTTATCTATGCACTGTTTCTCCTAGATATATTTTGTACTTGTATGTAAACAAACTTTATAATCATGCCATACCTTTGATATTTTGCTACTTATTTTAAATGTAATTATTTTTACTACTACTGCATGTTTTGGGTTGAGGAGTAGTAGTGGTAGAAGATGTCCAGTAGAAGTATTTGTAGTACTGTTAGTAGATGCAGTAGTAATAGTACTGGTAGCGTTAGCAATAGTAGTAGTAGCAGTAGTAGTAGTAGTAGCAGTAGTAGTAGTAGTAGCAGTAGTAACAGTAGTAGTAGTAATAGTAGTAGTAATAATAGTAGCAGCAGTAGCAGCAGCAGTAGTAGTAGCAGTAGTAACAGTAGTAGTAGTAGCAGTAGTAGTAGTAGTAGTAGTAGTAGTAGGAGTAGTAGTAGTAGAAGTAGTAGTAGTAACAGTAGTAGCAGCAGTAGTAGTAGTAACACTAGTAGTAGCAGTAGCAGTAGCAGTAGTAGTAGTAACACTAGTAGTAGCAGTAGTAGTAGCAGTAGTAGTAGTAACAGTAGTAGTAGCAGCAGTAGTAGTAGCAGAAACAGTAGTAGTAGCAGTAGTAGTAGTAACAGTAGTAGTAGCAGTAGCAGTAACAGTAGTAACAGTAGTAGTAGTAGCAGTAGTAGTAGTAGTAACAGTAGTTGTGGCAGTAGTAGTAGTAGTAGTAATAGTGGTAGTAGCAGTAGTAGCAGTACAAGCAGTAGCAACAGTAGTAGTAGTAATAGTAGTAGTAATAATAGTAGCAGTAGTAGCAGCAGCAGCAGCAGTAGCAGCAGCAGTAGTAGTAGTAGTAGTAGTAGTAGTAGTTTCTAACAAAATACCAGTGATAGCAACTGTCCTTTGTAAGTATATGTACACAATGTTATTATGTACTAAATTTAAAGTTCCGTATTTTCAAATATTTATTGCAGTTGTCTTTGTAGTATTTATACTTCACAGTAAAAGTACAATCCTCCACCTCTGACCGGAGGCAATTTCCAAATCCCTTAAGACTCCACCAACAGCTGCTGCTCCAAACTTCCGAGATCAAAACGTGTTAAAGTAATTACACTCCACCACATGTGACCCAAAATGGCCGCCCATAAAACCACTTCTTACCCCCGTTTAACATGTAAAAAAAAAACCAAACATTCTCCCTCCTTCTTCCCCGGAGATTTTGGGCTGCAGTTGAGTTGACAAATGTTGCTTTTAGCGCGGGTTGCTTTCCTTGTTGTTCTTATTGCCCATATACAAGACCTTTTACGCCAAATTCCCCTGAACCCTGGTTTCCGTGTTGTACAATATTGATTCGGGGGCATTTATTAAAGAACTGTCCGTGGTGCTGAAGGCAGACGCTCCGAGGATAAATGGAAGTTGGGCGGACATGTTTGTGCATTAGTGTTTATAGTGAAGGTCAGGTTGTAGACTCACAGATGAGACGGAGTAGAGATTATGCATTGATTTTTTTCTTTAAAGGAGAGTAAAGAGAGGCGGAATAAAATGACGCAGGCTTTACTCTGTTTTCTAAAAAAACGTTTTGAAAATGGAAGCGTTTAAGGTCAGACGCGAGGAGAATGGATATCCGCTAATCTACTGCAGGAAGTTACGGAGGAAGTTTCACAGAGCTAGTTGCGTCAATACGGGAAAATGTACATGGAAAGGTTAGTGCCGTTTAACCTTTTAGAACGTTAATTAGGGGCTATCAACGAGAAGTTTTTTGTCATCTCAACTTTTTTTCACGGAAGGTATTATGGAAATTTTGTTTATGTCTGTGTTTTTAATGCCAAGTGTCTCCAATAAAGTACTTACGGTTTGTTTTCAAAGGGCGTGTACCTGATTGGAATCTATTCTTTTCAAAATAAATGCATCTTGTGTGGTAAAAAGTGCAAAATAAGGAAAAAGAATCATGGGAATTGAACTATCTGTGCTTGTCATAGTGCTTTTGTTTTAAGACAGAAAAGCAAATAGTAAGCAGAGATTTCAGAGCTATAAGGAAACATCCACACAACACTATTCCAGAATGTGGGAGGAGCTGAAAGGGACACTTAAAGGGACAGAAATTTTGGACATAGGGTCTTATTTCCTAGTGAGCCCGAGTGTTGGAGACGTGTGGAGACACTTTTTACAAATTTCCATCCAGGTGCTAGGCTAGTGCACGTCAATGGCCATAGTTAGCCTGTCACTAAAAACAAAACTAAAATCTTACCCACTCCACAAAATACCAGTAGCAAATCTATTATTACACCAGACTGTCGATGTGAATGTCTGTGTTAATAGAATAATGTTTGAAATAAAATTTGCATTTGAAGGATTTATGTCTCAGCAGCAGCAGTGAGTTGTACTTCCTGACAGAAAGCTTGGCAGCGGCAGACTGATATATGAGAAAATAGTCCCTCAACATGCGACAATTCATGCGATGCAAGGTTAGTTTTATTTCAAACATATTTCTATCAACACAGACATTCACATCAACAGTCTGGCGTAATAACAGATTTGCTTCGAGTGTTTTGTGTAGCGAGTAAGACTGTTTTTAGCGGCAGGCTAACTATGGCCATTGACATGCACTAGCCTAGCACCAGCGACCTCTGCAAATACGAAGAAAACTGGATGGAATGTTTAAAAAAGTGTCTCCACACGTCTCCAACACTCTGGCTCACTAGGAAATGAGGCCCTATGTCCAAAATTTCCAACTGTCTCTTTAAACAAATCTGGTTCTAGCAGGTCAAGTTACAGGTCAGATCTGTGGAGAGGCGAGCCCTCTCACAGTATGAATGCATGTTTTTTTTGTGAGCTATAAACCACAGCCAATGAAATAAACGCCTGATTAGTTATGTTTAATGCTGTACTTTTGAACATTCTGGCAAAGCAATGGTATCTCAAAGCAATTCTGTGGTTCTAAAACAGTCACCGCTGTAATATTTAATGAAAAACAGAAGGAAAAAAACTCCACATTGGGCATTAAAAGGAACTCACATTATGATCTTACAAAAAAAGGAACAGCAGCAGAAGAGAGAGAACGCTCGACCAGACCAGTGTTTGTAAAAGCCTCTGTCCCAGGTCGGTTTGGGCTCTGGCACAGCATCAGGGGTAACAGACTGGTGGGATAAGATGTGCCAAAAAGAGAGGGAGGGAGCGAAAGAGAGGTGGAGAGAGAGGGGGAAGAAGAAGAGAGGCAGAGAGAGCGGCAGCAAAGAGAGAAACAGATGAGAGTGAAAGAGCAAAAGAAAGACAAACGTAGAGAGGAAGACGAGGGATCAAGGGAGGAGTGAGACAGTAAGAGAGAGGACGAGAGCGGGAGAAAGAAAGAAGAGAGAGACAGCGGCAGCAAAGAGAGAAACAGAAGGAGGATGAGAGTGAAGGAGCAAAAGAAAGACAAACGTAGAGAGGAAGACGCGGGATGAAGGGATGAGCGACACAGTAAGAGAGAAGACTAGAGCAAGGACAACGAGAGAGAGGAGGTGAGAAAGAAGAAGAGAGAGAGGAGAGACAGCAGGAGCAAAGAGAGGAAGAGATGAAAGAGAGAGGGAGGTAGACGTGAAGAGAGGTAAAGGAATATAGGGTAAGAGGAAAGCTTGGAGGGATGTGAGAAAAGGAGGATGAAATGAGAGAAAGAGAAGAAGAGAGAGAAAGAAAGAGAGTGAGTGAGATGGGAGAAGAGAGAAGAGATGAGAGAGAGGGAGACAGAGGTAAAGGGACATAGGGAAAGAGGAAAGATTGGAGAGATGTGAGAAAAGGAGGATGAAATGAGAAAAAGAGAAGATGGGGGAGAGAGAGAGACAAAGAGAGTGAGATGGAAGGAGAGAGAAGGGAGAAAAGATGAGAGAGAGAGGGAGACAGAGGTAAAGGAGCATAAGGAAAGAGGAAAGACTGGAGGGATGGGTTAGTGAGAAAAGGAGGATGAAATGAGAGAAAGAGAGAAGGGAGAGAGAGACAAAGAGAATGAGCTGGGAGGAGAGAGAAGGGAGAAAAGATGAGAGAGAGAAGGAGACAGAGGTAAAGGAACACAGGGAAAGAGGAAAGAATGGACGAAAGGAAGATGAAATGAGAGGAAGAAGAAGAGAGTGAGAATCGAGGAGAGAAGAGGTCAAAGAATGAAGAAACACGAGAGAGGAAAAAAGGAGACACGGCGATGAGAGAACGTGTGAGACAGTAAGAGACCGAGAGAGAGGGGAAGAGAGAGGCGGGGCTTACAAAAAGGAGCGAAAGAGCAACAAGAGATAAAAAAAAAAAGGAGGGAGAAGGAGGGAGAGAGGTCAGCCGTGAGTCCGCTGACCGCCGGGTGAACCTGGGCGAGCCGTTAGCACGCGTTGGCTCTGACCTGACCCGCGGATTCAAACGGAGACAATACAGTTGGGTGTTTTTTACGACATCTTCACATTGTTGTGGTGTCTGCGGCCCCGTTGCCATGACTACAGCCACGTCCCAAAGGCTCCCTCTGCTCTTAACCCCGCGCTGCCCCATATATTCCGGAGGTGTACAACATCAATAAAAGTGCAGTTCTTTTACGACTGTAGTGACATGACAAGTATTATTTCAAATACTGCAAAGATGTACACAGCATACTTTGAACTATAGGCGCCTCTGACAAACTATAACAGATGGTGGTCCACGGGTACTGCCAAAAAGTAGTGATAAAGTAGAAGTAAGCCAGGGACCGCAAGGGAATCGTGCATTTAAAATAAGAGTTGAGACCTGCACTTGGAAATACTCGGAAGTTCAGCTCAAAGTTTAACGCGATTTCTATTGATCGCTAAAACTGTATTGATCAAATTAAGTATAAGTACAGATTGCGTACAAATCACACTGTACTCTGGCATTAGCAGAATGTGCAGACGCAGAGAGGCCCGTCAGCCACAAGGGGGACTGCGACAGAATGATTCAGTATAGAGGCTTTGCACCGTCACGTGACCCCTATAGCAACGGTACCTACAACGCCATGACACCGGGCAACACTATGTCACTGACTTCAGCAGCATCAGAGAAACATGGGCAGGTTTTGTTGTGTATTTGGTTGTTCTAGACGCTCTGAAAGGGATAAAACAAATCATTTCTTCACTATTCCTCTGGAAATGACTCATCAAGAGCTCAAACAAGGGAATTATCGAAAAAAGACACAAATTATAGCTAGCAAAAATAAACCATGAAGAGATTTCCTATTGTACCATCAAGACACCCCAAGTTTCATCAAGGTATTTGCTATTTAAATTGTTTCATAGCTTATTTAATGAAAGAAGCACATTTACTGAACTAAAATTTCATAAATTTATCCAGGAAAACCCGCACTAGTTTACGATTCAACGAACGCTATGATCAACATGGCGCACGAGTCGAAGAGTCTGTGAGCCAAACCTTGAAAGAATCGGCCATGAAAAGGTCCTGGTGAACGTTAGAAAGATCCGCTCGCAAAAAGTGATTAATTCTAGAAGACATAGTTGTGGATAAGCAAGACAATAAAGAAAACATTGGTCCTATGATGAGTAACATGTTTATATGTGCATTGGAAGATACAGTTTCTACTGCCACTCACACCGCAAATGTTTTCTTTTTACATTTTAGTTCAGTAAATGTTCTTCTCTCATTAAATTATCTATAAAACAATTTAAATAGCAAATACTTTGATGAAAGTGATGTGAGTGTGTTTTGATGGTACCAGAGGAAATCCCTTTGCGGTTTATGTTCTCTAGTCATAATTACATTTTTTGTTTGTTTTATTTTTCGATAATTCCCTTGTTTGAGCTCCTGATGAGTAATTTCCAGAGGAACAGTGAAGAAATTAATCGTTCTATCCCGTTCAGAGCATCTAGAACAACCAAATACACAACAAAACCTGCCCA